AAGCAGACTGAATGATTCCACATATTTTCAATTCAATGTGTTTTCCAACAGGGTCCAGTAAGAATAGCTTACCATGGGAATGAAATTTTTATTGAATTCTACGAACAACTTCTTTCATAGGAACATTGAATAAAACTGTTTCCATTCAGCTTCTACTCCAAACGTTCATGGAATTAAGAGAGCATTTACAGGAACACCATATAACGTAATATGTGAAATACGAGTAGTATTGATATAAAATTTCGTTTACATGGAACTCGATTATCCTAAGTTGTACGTACTTCGTCGAAGTTTCGGGATGAAAACTTTCGTTATCAACTCCGTGTCAGCACCTATTTGAACTTCTGAAGACGAAAACAAACATATTTCTCGCAAAAGATTGGTTTTTCGGATTGAGAATACTTTTTTATTTGATGATGAAATATTAGGATTATTCAATCAAATTTTATTTAGGAAAAGCTGAAAAAAAACTAGTGTTCCTGTAAAAAGTGTCTCGAGAAAAATCAAAAGATGTATGCTACAAAGTTGAGTTAAATGTAGATTTTATGAGGCACTAGACGTGTTAGGAATCACACGTTAAAAGGTAAGACCTCGTTAATCCTTATCTCGCTCAAGTTTCGACTTCTGAGGGTTGTCGTTCGTAGGGGTGTGACAGCTGGTTGATGGAAAACTGATTTTTTTAAAGGGAGCTTTAGAACACCCTGAAACGAAGCTAACATTAAATATTTTTGCTCAAAAATGGTATTGAAACATTTGTTCACGTCAAAATATATTCATATTTTTAGGAAAGAAAGGTTATGGCTTTATATTTCTTCACAAAGATGTGTAGATCATTCCCTAACGACACTTTTTAGGTAAGCAGCAAGCGAGAAATGTGTACTCTTATCACACTATATTTCAGGGAGAGCTCCAAAATGTTTATGTGAATTTATACAGTGAATTCCATTTAAAACGAGCCTGAATAACTTTTGCTACAATGATTTGCAGGAAAAATTAAAAACACTTCAACCATAGTATATTCACATTTGATGTTACTTCCCCTATTGCAACTCCAGAGCATGTCACCAATTTTTGTTAATGGATCACCCTATATTGTTTCGCATTATCAGATGCCCCATGATGAGCAGGTTTCAACAAAGTATAAAACATGGTCTGAAGCTTATGGTTCGGGAGATACAAATTATTCGAGTTGAAAACTAGCTTGAATAACTTTTGGAACAATGATTTTCAGGAAAAATAAAAAAATACGTCAACAATAGTATACAGGGAAACACAATTTGACATATTCACTTCTAACTTTCTCTATCGCACCTCCAGATCATGTCACCATTTTTTTTTAATGTTTGCCTAGTTAGGGTTGAATTCGATATTCTCCTCATTTTGTATTTGTCTCATTTTACACCATTTACACCTCTACCAGGTGAAGTTACGATTGGTGTTTCTGTGTTTGTGAATTCTTGAGAAGCAATGGTTTATACGCTTCGAGAAATAGTGAGTTTGTACTACCAGAATGGAAATAGTGCTAGAGCTGCTGCCCGTATGTTCAACGATAATACTCCAGAAAGAAATATTCGAAACAAATATGTTTCGGAATTATTGAACAAATCAATTGAAACTGGATCTGTTAACAATAAAAAGCATAACCGTTCAGGAGTTGTCAACGATGTAGCTATTTGTACTGCAGGTTTAGGGCACGTTGGACTAATGTGAAATTCGCAATCTCTTACTAATTATATCGAAAATCAGGAATCAGTCGTACAAATATTTTCAGAATCCTTCATAAGTACGAATTTCATCCGTATAAGATTAGACTAGTTCATGAATTGAACGAAGATGTATCGAGTTTTGTGAAAGTATCACTGAACGGATGAACTTGTATCATAATTTCTTCTATGAAATTTGTTTTTCGGATGAATGTAAGTTTAGTTTGAATGGATAGTTGAATCGGTTAAATTGTCGATATTGAAGTGACACAAATCCTTATTGATAATGTCAAGTGCATACCCAACAACCTCAAAAACTGAATGTTTGGGCAGAGTTTTAGGTGACCACATCATTAGCTTTTTTTTCATCGATGATAATTTGACTAGTTATAAATATTTGGATATGTTGGGAAATGGAATAATACCATGCATCAATAGGGCAATTGGGATGGATTAAAGTTTATTCGAAAACGAAATAGTTTTTCAGCAGGATGGTGCACCTTCTCATTATGCAGCTCCAGTGCGATGATTTTTGGATGATCAAAGTCTCCGGATCTCACTACTGTAGATTCTATTGATATCACGACGAATTAACAAAATATCGCGACTTTTGAAGTTTACCTTGATCTTTACCGGTAATCTATGAAAACAATCCTTTCCCTAGTAAGAATAACATAAATGTATTTAGTCTTAACAATGTAAATGTTGTTATCGAGAAAACCAAAACGTTCTACTATTCTAAGTTTGTTTTGATGAAATCATGAAAAACAATCTTTTAGTTGATAAGGCATGATTATTTCGTGATGAATAATGAATATTATTAAGTGGGTCTAATAAATGTTGACATTGAACCTCAAAACGTATCGATTAGTGAGGCAACATGTTGTTTACATTTCATAATGAAAATTTCCTTATTATCAAACAATGTAGTTACAAAAATTCACCGATTCAGGTCATTATTGAGAAGAAGAATAAAATATTCATTGAAAAAAAAAGATTAGGTACTCTTGAAAATAAGCAGAAAAAAGCAGAAATCTAAATCCAAAAGCAATTTCAATACCATACATAACCTTTTCTTTTTTTGAGAGGATCAAAAGTTTTGTGGGTCTCAAAAGGTGTCGACAGGTTTGAATTTGAATGTAGGGTGAAAACGTGTGTTTCAAATTTAAAGCTTCAATTTGCAATAATCAACACGAAATCAACACGAAGAAACTTTGATCAGTATTTTGCATCCTCAGTTCATGTTTATTAAATATTGAATGAACATTAGACATTATTTGTTATTATAACTATCTAAAGTCCCAACGATTTCTGGGGTCTGACCTCGAGACATTGGAAGATTTTTTCCATCCATGGAAACTGACGGCATATAATAGCTATTTTCAAAATAAAATTCCATGAATTTCATATTTGAAAAAGAAATTTAACCGAATTTCGAGTACTAAGTCGGGATTGTACAAAGAATCGAATTTAAAGTCGAAATTCAAAAAAGTTATAAGTATCTGTTAGTTTTGTAAAATTTATAGGTGTAACCGTTACTACTTGGTAGGAGATTATAATGAAAAAGGGGAAAAAAATTCCTATGTTTTTATACCACTATCGTTACTGCAGTTTCGTCCTATCAGGACATTTTCAAACGAATCGTTTGAAATTCAATTAGTTTCATTATTTTATTCATTGAATTCCATATATAATATCGCAATTCTTTGAAACTTCGACTCTGACCCCGGAATATTGAAATGATATTTCTTCAAAACAGCAAACATTCTGGTATGGGTTATTCAATGAAAAATTTATATTCATCTTTCGAAATCATATCTTTTTCAAATGAAGCACTATGTCTATTATAATGGTTTCTCTTCAAATATTTATTTTACCACTAGTGAAGTCCCTCAAGGATCTAATCTCGCGCCATTACTTTTTTTACTTACTATTCACACATACTGGGATGTTTGGTCACTACAATTTGTCTAACTAATGAAATATAACTTTGTAATAGTTACCACAATAACATATTGAAAAATCAAACATGTAAAAATAAGTAGAATTCATTAATTTTTTGTGGAGCTTTAAAGCGTCTGGTAATAGTTTTGGTCCATGGAAAGTGTTCGACACTTATGATACTGTCTGTTTAAAAAATCTGTTTAAAATATGCTTTTCAGTTAATCAGCTGTCGCCCCCATACGAACGACAACTCTCAGAAGTTGAGAAACTTGTGCGAGCTAAGAACTAACGAGGTCTTACCTTTTTACGTGTGGTTCCTAACACTATTTTAGAATACTATTCTACGGGACACATAGAAAAATCAGCCATACAAATTTAAGTTAATTTTTAGTTACCTTTCTTACCTGGTACCTGCCTAGGTGTCACAAGGCGAGCTCCACAAGCACGCAGGTATTCAAAGAACATGAGACGCTACTGAGAACTTGAAGTTTCATCTATGTGAAAATTAGTTATGTCTGATCGCTCTGGGATCTTACTCTATAAGGTTAACGTTAGAATAGTATGCAATAGAGCGTTTAAGGACATTCTACTTCCGAATACGTTACAAACACCATTTTTACCATTATAGTAGGAAGTGGATCGATTAGGGATAGAACGATTAGGGTTGAACACTTAACAGTAAACAAACTGGGCACTAGTGCAGTGATTTCATTATCTTCGAGTACAAAAAAAAATCGTCTGTACGACGATTAACAGTTTAACTTCTCCTGAACCTCAAAATTGAAGACAGTTGTTTGTGTTGAATTTTTTTCTGCATTTACATGCATTCGTGTCATTTCAAAAATATGAATGCTATTTTTTCAGATACATTTCGACGACTCTCTTCAATAGATTCTACCATCAAGTAAAGAAATAGAAAAGAAACTATTACTCAGTTTCAATATGATGTCAAAAATGTCAAAAAATGTTCATTTTCAACTGAATTACGTTTATTTATGAATGTAGTTTCATGAAAAATAAAATTTGTCTTGTCATGTGCAAACATAATTGAATTATGTTTTTGAATCCAATAAACCACCCTTGGTCTGAAAAATAATTTCGTTGGTATTTTTTGTATTGAAGAAATTAGTTATAATTCACATTGGATAGCAATTGTAACAATGTTCAGAACATGCAATCGTGAAAAAAAGAAGCATTTTATGACTTCTATTGCTGAATGCAAAGAATATTCTTCAGATCTTTGAAGGGTGGTATCTTCAAAAATAGTCCTGGCTGTTACCGTTCGACTAGACATAAATAAATATCCTAATATTATTTCACGAGTTGATTTTTCCATTTATAAAACGTACTCACTCTAGATCCCATCCGCAGTCATTTATATCCTCCGGATCAGTCACTTCGCCAGGATAATCTGATAATTGCATCTCTTCCTGCATGCACTCTCCGTATCCCGTATCTACAGGAGATAATAGCGAGTAAAACCATTTTAAATTAAACATTAAACTTATTAATTGCGGTACTTTTCAAATACACATAGTAACAGAAAATTTAACAGCGTGTTTGACAGCAGTTGTAAAGAGTGGTATTCTTTGACAGCTGTCACTAACGTAGTAAAAAAATCGATTCAGTGAATTTGCGCTTGCGTAGTCGAGATACTTGCTATACAGGGGGATACTCGGTAGTTCTTATAACAAGAATGGAAGCTGGGGATGAGTTGAGTTGTTGAACTCCGAAGGGAAGGAAACTTTGTACCGAAGGAAAGCTAATGAAGAATTGAATGGAAATATTTTGATTTGAAAATAGAATGGACTCTTTTGTGTTACGCTTCGAGTTCATTGATGAAAAGTTAACAAAAATTCAATATACCGTGTACCTATTTTCTGATGTTTCAGATAATATGACAATGTTAAATCCATGCTCTCATTCTTGAGCCCTTTCGGCCCTTGGGCCAATCAGCCTTAAATCCTTTCTGTTGAAAGCACTTGAGAGGATATTGGACATCAGGAAGGTTGCTTTATATGTAGCCTCCTGAATAATCACCAGTATGCATATCAAACCAGCAAATAGACATATTTAGCATTAAACAACCTTCTAGAGAAAATTTCCGAATCCTTTGACAACAAGGAGATTGCGGTTCTTGTGTTTCTCAATATTGAAAGAGCATTTGACAATACACTATCTAAATCTGGCTGGAAAAGGCATATAATCAACCGTAACTGGATGTTTCTATGCCATGCTGGTAAACAGAACTATACGTACGACTCTTCAAGACGAAGCCATTAGGTTCAGGGTCACCAGGAACTGCCCTCAAGGTGGGGTACTATCTCCACTTCTGTGATCTCTCCTTATGGATAGTCTGCTTGATGCCCCCGTTAGAAGAGAAGTAGGTCAGCAAGCTTATGCAGATGACCTTGTTTTCTTGACAAAGTCCACAAGGGTAGCGTGTATCATTCTCCAAAGTACGATGGACGTGGTTCACAGTTGGTGCCGGAGGGAGCAGATGTCTGTCCACCCCAGCAAAACTGTGATAATCCCCTTTACCAGGAGGAGAAAATTGGACGATTCAATGCCACTTACCCTCAATGGTGACGTCATTCCATTTGGAATGGAGGTGAAATATCTTGGCATTGTCCTTGATAGAAAACTCACCTGGAACACTCATTTGGAAAAAGTTTTATACAAATCCAGACTGTCCCTATGGACATGTCAAAGGATTTGTGGTACAACTTGGAGTTTAGGTTCCAAACAAATCCATTGGATTCATGTGATGATCGTCAGACCAATGATCACTTATGGGGCAATTGTCTGGTAGCCGAAGGTTTTGCAGAAAACGGTTCATGCGAAGCTCTCTGGATTACAAAGACAGGCTTGTCTGGCCATCAGTAGTGCAATCATTACCACACCATCAGCGGCCATGGAGATCCTTCTAGATCTACCTCTTCTCCACATTTTTCTGGAGAGAGAGGCTAGATGGACTGCATATAAACGTGTGCACATTGCCAATTAAACAAATCAATTTAATGCGGAGGGCAACATACTGTTAGTTGACACTAGAAGTCACAACATTCTGGAAATGACCTCTGACATTATGCCTCCAACTGTCAGCTACGAACTGCCTTATGAATTACTGTTCTCGAGTAGAGAGGATTGGATCCTCCGGAAGAAGGAAATATAAGCAGATAGTTGTTGATTCACAGATGGATCAAAAACACCCTCAGGCTCTGGTGCAGGTGTTTTCAGTTGCAGACTCAAGACAGAGATATCAAACTACCTAGGGACTTATGCAACTGTATTTCAAACGGAAACATATGCCATTGAATTGTGTGCCGAGGGATTGGTAGAATCCAACCTCACATACAAGTCAATAACAATTTTCTCAGACAGTCAATCGGCGTTGGAAGCTCTTGGATCCTATCAAGCAACGTCTAAGTTGGTAGCAAATTGCCAAAAACGACTCTCCTCAATAGCAAGACTTAACAAATTGTCTCTGGTGTGGATTCCTGGCCACACTGGCCTGGAAGGCAATGAGGCTGCTGACTCCCTTGCAAAAAAGGGTGCTGTAAGTAGCTTCATCGGATCAGAACCTGTTATTGGCATTGTTTTAGGTTTTGCGAAACATTGAACAGAGCATATAGTTTGTGCCTGCCAAGCTGCGGACCGAATAAGGTTTTCAGAGTTTGGTAGAACCACACTTCTACCGTTTGTTTGAAAGTGGTTGACAATATTTCGTGGTGTATTTCACCAGTTCGGACTTCCATTGTCTAATTTAATATAAGTTGATTTGAAATCCCTGAAAGAAACTGTAAAAAATCTTGCTTCAGTTCAACTTAGATTAGTTCAAGTTATCACTTATATCCCGTGTCCCGAGAAACACTCGTTTTTTTCATGTTCGGAGATTCTTGTTTTGAAATTTCGTGAAGTACTGATCTGTTATCCTTGTCTACGACAACATGTTGTTTTATATGTCTATCCAAGGAGTTTTGGGTAGACATATAACGATTTGATCTCCACAAACAAACTTTGTTTGTGGAGATCAAATCGTTGAGGTGTAGTTTTTGAAAATACTATGGATCTTATCAAGTAACGGTTGAATCAATCAGAAAAAAAGTCTTATATGTTATGTTAAGCTTATCTATAGCCGTAACAGGCTTAGGGGTACACCTTTAATGAGAAATTTTCTTTGGAAAAACTACATGCAATCTCAACCAGTATCTGTATGGTTGGTAGATAGTTCGTAATTTTGTGGTTCAGAAGAAACAAAACACTGAAATAACTNATTGTGATTCTCATATAATCAGAAATGATTATTGAATAACGAAATTAGTTAGCTCCCTAACTGAATTATTAAAGGGGAACTGTTGAAAGTAGGTTGCACTATATCGTTTACTTGTACTATACAATATTCAGACTAAGTAAAGTATTAACAGGAAGCCATGTGATTTTCTTATTATTATCAATCAGTATGCTGAAATAAAGATATCTCAATTTTTTTTTAAATTCACCATTCACAATGTTCATTTGTAATAATCATATACATCTATAAATTAATTATTACATAACAACTATCCTGAAGCAACACTAATACTGATTGTTTTTTTTCAAATTCTGGATATGTTAATTTTAATTATAAAAGATTGTATTTTTCATTTTGTACCCTGTGCGATATTTTAATCCATGAGAGCGAGCTGAAAAAAATACAAAAAATTACCTAACGGGAACCCAAAAGTGTTCCACGAGGAATGAATACTATTTAAATAGTGATTTACAAGAGAATGTTTGAAATATGATTTACAAAATTTTGTATCATGTACATTGTTGATCATTTAGAATCATCTGAAAAATGTATACTACAGCTGTAGGCTGTTAATGACTTGACAGTTGATAAATAACCTCTGAAATGAAATCAATGAGATGGGTGAGCATTTTCATTGTTGAATCAAGTCACTAATTGAAACTTAAAAAGAATTCACTGTAATTCTGGACTCATTGAAATAATGTAGGTACTTGATTGAAATTCTACTTCATATAGTTCACTTATCGCAGAACTGATTATTGGAATGTTTGTTTTTAAAACAATGCCATATTTTCTAATGAATACTCACTCAATATATCATATGCTTAAAATTACAGTAAAATTTGCATATCTAACATTCTTTAAATATTTTAATTCTTGCACAATAACAGGTGTACCGACAAGCAGAACAATATCACCTTTTAATCATATATTCAGTTATGTAAAAAAGTTCCGTCAATATTTCACATTCAGACTCGGAAATGCTATATTTATTTTTAGGAAAAAGTTTATATGAGGCGCAATTTGGTTCACACGTGCATGCTAATATATATGACATGATTTTTTCGATAAAAACCAGTTCACCTTACTTCCGTAGACATTTGTTATTTTGTTTTTGATATCATCTTGTGTATATGCAGAACAATTATCAATATGGTTAATTTAAAGTTTTCATTTTATAATACGTATTCAATAAATAATGAATGAACAATAGAAACAACCAATAGAAAGCCAACACGAAACTATTGCGCAACGGGGCTTAGAAAACAAAAACTCAATTTCCTAAGGTATTTTCTTTCTGTGTTTATATTGTTTTCAATTAAGTATTGTCGTGAGCGCTGTTTCTCAATTACTTTTGAGAAACCACGAACTCTGCCTTCTGTCAGGAGTTATCATTTTGTATCTATATATAATCTGTTTGTTAATTCTAGCAATAAAATCGATTATGAAAAGAGAAACTTAAAATTTCTGTTTTTTACAACTCTTATTTGTAACTAACGTTACTGCAGTTTCGTCCTATACGGACATTTTCAGACTTATACAATAAACTAACAATGATTCATTACATTCGCCATTATGTACTACCCCTGTAGGTACTAATAGAAATAGAGGTACTTGACTTGATTGAGTACCTGAATTTACAGTTCACAATACGGATGTGCCAATTTAAAAACCGGAGAGTAAATTAAATTGATTTGATCATTTAATAGGTTGCACCCGCAATGTTCATTCTTGTGAATTTCCAAGGATTCTGAATAATTGAGATTGCAACCCTTCCTTGCATAGTGCCGAATTTCCGTGTCGTTTAGATTCGGAAACTTGTGGTTGCATGCCAAGGAATGGTTTGAAAACGTCGAATCATTAGTCCCTAGTCTGAAGGACCTTTCATGTTCAGCATACCGTTTTTGTAAATTTCGGCCACATTGTCCCATATAAACACTATTACACTCCGGACACTTGAGCTTATAAACTCCAGATTTTTCCAACTTGTCGACCTTATCTTTGGCATTGAAAAGGAAACGAGATAACCTGGCATGTGGTCTGAATGCTACTTCCACATTGTTTTTTCTGAAGAAAACTGCAAGTATTTCTGTTCTTTTTCAAACAACCAGAAATCAAGAAATGGGTAACGCTAACATATTTTGGGTCGAACAGGAAAACCGACACAAACATACTATAAAATTGAATAAACAAGATAAACAAAGACAAACATTTTAAATTAAACTTCCGCAGGAACACTCCCTCCCAGTGATGAAATCTCATTGATCACTATTATTAATGTGATGAATAATGACAAAGTTTGGTAACAGGTCTTCTGTATGTACCCATATTTGTTTTAACATCGACCACTCGTGCATTACCATCTGCACCTGGAAATGTTGCAGTAACTACACCATGTCTCCAACCTTGATATTCGTTGTGGGTGATGTGCACCATTTTGTTCTTCTGGTTATTACCGGCAAATATTCTTTGATTCAACGGCGCCAGAAATGATTAGCGAGCAATTGAGATTTTCGCCATTGTTTCCTAGTGAACAAGTCATTTTCTTCAAACTTTCCTACAACTGGTGCTACAAATGGCTTGAAAATCACGGTATCGGCCTGGATCCATCCGAAGACGGTTTTTGAATCCGACCAAAAATAGAATGAGTAAATTTTAATATTTCCAAAACCGCAGCCTGAAGTTCAAGCCTGGGAATAGACATCTTTTGTCGGATGGAGGCTACTCTGGACTTTGTCATAACGAAACTTGTTTGAATGGAATCTTTCTTCTTAATTCGAAGGTAGGCAATAGCTGTGTATGCCTGGGCACTTGCATCACAGAAAATATGATTCTGAATTTCTTCGGCTTCAAAAATATTGGAAACATAACGAGGAATGGACAAAGTAGAGATTTTTTCAATATTTCCAACCCATATTCTCCATGTTTTCTTCATTTCTTCATTCAGTTCATCATACCATCCAATTTTTAAACGCCAAATATCCTAAAGCAGCTACTGTGAAAGTATTTAGGAAGCCAAAAGGATCAAAAGATGACTGTTTTTAGTACTTTCCATTTTGTTTTATACGTTTTTGGCGAGTAACATTTTGAAGTCTTCGGAATCCCACTTTATTGAAAAGGAAATAACAGCTTGATTTTGGTTCCAAAATAGTCCTAAAATCCTCAAAGTGGGTGAAAGCAACTCCTTTTCTAGGTCCATATATTTTTTCTCTGGAATTTCGAAGCTCTTCTGGTATGTACTTCAACACATCTTTGGAATTACTAGACCAGTTTTGTATGACAAAACCTCCTCGACTATAAACTTGATCACTTCCAATGATATTTATTTTCTTTGCTTCTTCAATGGTATCTACATATCGAGGTAGTCATCGACGTAGTGTTGCTGTCTAATGGCCTTTACAGCTTGTGGAAATTCTGCCTCGAATTAGCATCCGAATGAAACTGAAATCGTTATCAAATAATACAAAAAAGCAAATTATAGACTTCACTAATATTGGTTGTTTACAGCTGATATAAGAATTGAAAAAATTGAATGCATGCATTTGTCTATTTTGAAAAGATGTATCTCTATTTTCAAATAGTTACATTGTGACAATCCAATTAGGATATTTGTGATTATTTCATTTATATTTCCTGAAATAAAAATTTCAAACATTCTGAATGAGGGTTTCAAAAACAACAAGAGATTCAAGCATCCAAATTTTCGAAATCATTTTCTAGCTAATTATATTTTCCTCCGACCGTTGAAATTTTCCAATTCGATACGTTATCGGTCAATTATACTTCTTCAATTTTTCATCTTTGTAGGCTGCAGAATCCAGCCAATTCAAAAAACTGAAAAAACTTTTAATTTTTTTGAAGAATATCAATTTGCCGATTGATATTTCAGTTAATTATCACCAAAAGACGCCTCATATAACTATTATTAAAAACTGAATTAATGTTTTTTTGCTAGTTTTTGGGTATTCAACTTTCCACAATCGGAAAAATGAACAAGGCCGAAACAAAAAAAAAATCTGCTGAAGCGGCAACTGAAAAGTTACCACTGAAAAATCCAATTAGTCAGAAACTTGTAGTATTCATAAATTTTGACAACAAATGAAAACAATTATTGAGAAAATTAATTTTCAATACTTAGATTGTGGAGGTTTGATTACCCAAAAGGCAGTGACCCCTCCACAAAAAAGGGTCTTTCAACTATATTGAAAGTCTAATAAAGTATGAGAGTTTCATTAGTTCGGACTTCCATTGTCTGGTATTATGTAAAATGATTTGAAATTTTTGGAATAACTAATAAAGAAGAATTAAAAATTAAAGAAGAAGAATAAAAATGAATAGCTGAAAAAACAATTATATTAAGCAAAACACCTGAAATGAAATAATAGTGAAATAAAATACAAGTAAAAATTTAACAAATTGAACAAAAAATAAAGAAAATTAAATAAAAAGGTAAGAGATTCCAAGCCAAGTTAATTCACGACGTTTCGATTGTTAGTATCCACAATCGTCTTCAGGTGATGACTAGACCGATTCCTCCGTGAGCTGACTATTTATACGAAGGAATCACGTACTCTTCACGGAGGAATCGGTCCAGTCATCACCCGAAGACGATTGTGGATACTAACAATCGAAACGTCGTGAATTTCTCTTACCTTTTTATTTAATTTTCTTTATTTTTTGTTCAATTTGTTAAATTTTTACTTGTATTTTATTTCACTATTATTTCATTTGAGGTGTTTTGCTTAATATATTTGTTTTTTTCAGCTATTCATTTTTATTCTTCTTCTTTAATTTTTAATTCTTCTTTTTTAGTTATTTTAGGGATTTCAAATCATTTTATATATCAGACAATGGAAGTCCGAACTGATGAAATTCATCATGAAACACCTTCAAACAAAAAGGGACGAGAGGTTGCGTGAGCTGAAAATAATAAAACTAAAAAAGTCTATCACATTTAACATTAGGTACATTCAAAACCTAAAAAATTCTCCATATATGCCTACTATTACTAAAGAACTACTTCTTGCGATTGAACGTTGACCATTGTTTGTCTTATTAAATTAGGTCTCGATTTTCGTAAATTTTCCGATTTTCCATATTTTTTATGGGTATTCCAGGATAAGAGCAACTGATCCTCCCCTGCTTCACTTTCTCCATCTGCTACATCTCTATGATCTAAAGTCATATATAGTCGGCCTCCGAATGTTTCCGAAGTGTCGGAAGAATCACTGGATTGGTGAGTTGTTGAAAAACTGTCCAGGAAAGGTTTCGTTGTGGAACTGCCACATTTTATATTTTCGCTATCACGATCTTCTTCCTGAAATTGGATGGAAATGAATTATTCGATTGGAATTAATATGTGGTGAAATAGAAGCATATAATGGAATCATAATAGTGCAAGTTCTGTACTTTGAGTTCGAAATTATAGGCATTATAAAAATAGTTTCTCATTAGTATCTTCCAGAAACCAAAATTAGTACGAGGTCAGATCGGGAAATGGGTCGATGAGAAACATCAAGAGTGCAGGAAAAATACACCTAGAAATGTATTGTTCAATGAAATCAATCAAAGTATCTAAGATAGTGGGAATACTGACTTGATATGGAGTTTATTCTCTAGAAAACCGTTATATTATTAGGTTCTTGTAGAACAAACAGTAATTAAAGATTATCATCTTGCAGTTATTGCCATCCTCCGTGAACGACTGAGAAGAAATTGATCAAAAATGTGGAAAAACAAGTCGAAGCTCTAGCCCACATTGTACTAATGGTATCTGGTATCTGTACAGTAGGGAGAGTGAGTGTAGACTCACAGCACTTAGGCCACATGTTACCCATTGTACATCCTCCTGACCAGAGGTCCTCCTAGGTCATCGTCCATCCTGTCCTTTCCAGGAAGGTGAACAGGTCACTGGGAGACCTTTCCCTAATATTGGCAGGTGTAGGTCAAGACTCGCCGAACACACACTCTCTTTGGCAACCTTGAGGTGTCTCACGGTGGCCTCCGCGAAGGTTTCGGAAGGTGCAGCGATAGTACTGTCGTTGCGCGGTTTTTTCAACCTTCTTGGGGTTCCCTCCGTGGAGGTGCACAAGTGAGGGAGCTTTTCTGCAGGGGCAACCGGTTCCTTTATTCAAGGCGGAGCTCTTGGCGCCCGCCGCAGGAAGTGCCTTTGCTGTTGGAGGTGATCTGCTATGTCCAGCCTCATTCCAAGCGGTAGATTGGGGGTGGACATTTCTGTTCACTCCCAGCCACCGCCTTAGATTGGGGTGAGTACTTCTGTCCAGCCTCGGGATTGGTTTTTATTTTTGTTGTTTCTGTTGTTTCATTCATGTGTGTTCCCCCGAGTAGCAAGGGAAGAGTTGGTCACTTCTGACAGAGTTCCGTATTACCAGAGGTAGGCTGATTACAATGACGTTTCGTCTAGTTCCCCAAAGGGATCTTTCGTGATCGCATATCAGCCTGCGGCCATTCAGCTGTCGGCACGATTCCTTACATCTTAGTTTGGGTAGGCTGGTCCACGGCAGCATATTTTGCAAAGGCTTTTGGGGGGGTTTTAGTTCTCTTCACCCTAATTATTTCTGCCACTGACCAGGAGTCCGGCGACCCCGTCCGTAAGGCCACATTGGCTTCCTGGACAGGGTATCCAGTCCCCTGGCCGTTCCCCTATCCGCCACCTGGGGACGCGCCCTGGGTAGCCCAACCCACGGGCCACATTGCACTTATTATTGCATTATTTTTGGCAGAGTATGGCATCTCTGGATTGGAACACACCCTATTCACCAGATATAGCTACGTATGACTTTCATGTTCCCAAAAGTGAAGAAGGCATTGAAAGGAATCAAGTTCGATACAGTGGAAGATTGTAGAGATACTGAAGAGAATAATATCGAAGGAGATAAGGTGAAAGTTGAATACAGGAGGTCGAGTTCAGTTCAAACAAAGAGTTTCCTGTACTATGGAAGTTCATATGTTGGAGAACTAATCATTTCATTAAATATTGAAGTCATATTTTATTTACGTGCCACACTTTCTAACTACATATTCTAAACATAATATCAAACAATAACTTAATGAAACTCATTGGTTACCATTAAAATTTCCAGCCAATTTATTAATCAAGTTAAAATAATGAAAATGATATTCAAAAATGAAATAAATTTTCAACTTCATACGTAGTGAAATATGAAAACAAATATTAGAATTATTTTGAGAAAACAAAAAAATTGTAATCTAGGCAATTCATGATAATTTTACACTACTTCTGGGTGGATGGGAAAGCGTGCTAAGAAGCCTAGTTGGATTACAAATTATTACCAGCAGTACATAACTCTATTTTGCTATTAGCTAGATCAGGAATGAGTACCGTGTATATTCTTAAATGAACCGAACTGAAGCAGAGGGTAACATCAGCATCGAAAGCCTACCTTCCTTCAGAATGGACTAAGAAGAGCTGGCTTCGGCCTCATTCTTTGAAAGAAGTGAAACTCATTGGGAATATCCAACAGTAAAAATATTTCCATTCATCCCAGTCTGTTTCCTTTTATGGTATTGGCTGGAATCCTAAGGGACATTTGTGAATGAATAATGCTGTTAATCGGATGCCATTTAACTATTCCACTTGAATGTGGAGGATTTACTTCATTGGCAGTGATTTAGTGATTACATTACAATTCTGAATTGATTATGTGGAAAAAAAATTTGAATTGTAGAAGAAAAGGCAAAGTAACCTATTTTAGTTCTTCAAACATAGAAGATTCAATCCATTGCACTAAACAGTTAGATATTTCTGAAATGAAACTTCATTTTTTTCACACATCAAACTGATCTTAAGAATTGGCTATTGAGGAATTTTCTATCAGCTCTAGTTACTCTTTCTCTTCATCTTTGTAGGAAAGCTCAGACCAGAATAACAATAAAACCGTCTGGTCTCCTGTTTAACGGATGAATCTTACTTTTATTTTCTTTTATTGAGTTTACTCACTCTTTCAGTAAAATCATTTACAAGTCTGTGGATATAACTTCAGTCTTGTTTTACTAGAACTAGCATTACGATGTCTGACGANTTTCTATTGTTCCTATTGGTCAATCGAACAAGAAGCGGGAATAGGCCCGTGACATCACTGGCCTACTAAAATCGATTTTTAATAATTAATTACGGGAAAACTACGGTACTTAGAGAGTTGAAACAAAGTGCACTGTTTTTCAATTTAAAATTTTCATCAAGTGAACTATAAACCAAAAATCATAAAACAATCCCATTCACTGAAAATCATTTTATTCACAATTATCAAGCAAGAATATTTCAGGAATTACATCCAAGCAGACCAAAAACGGAAATAATTTTAAATAAGCTGCCAATCAAGTTCAAAAACATACAATTTTTCCTAAAATTCGAAGTATTTGTAAAAAAATGTTTATTTAATGAATAGTATTTTTACATTTGATAATTCATCTTTGCACATGTTTAAATAATTTTTGAAGACATTTCGATATTTTAAATAGCCAGTGGTTCTTGGGAAAGTTGAAGCAGTGAAGTATTGAAAGTTTCCATGGAAAAATTTAAACAGATTGAAAAAAAAGTTATTTGCAAATGAAGAAGTTGTACAAAAATATAATTCAGGAATTTTTGGTATTTCCTCTATATTTTCGTAACCAAAAAAGCTAGGGTCGATTTCATAAAATAATTCCATGACACTATGAAATAGTAAACTATACTAGACTTTGTTACGCATTAACTTATTCCTTTATGAGATTATCATGCATAGACTAGATGTGCGTCATTATTAGAATGTGCTTATAGGTCAATGACAAGACAATTTAAGTTAAATAGAAATCGAATCAACGCCTTTCTGATGGTATTGTCAAAATGGAACAATAAGATCAACAGATGTCGATTTCTCTAGAGAAATTTAATTTTTTTCTTTACTATTCTTTCACAATAATAATATCTTCAAGTCAAATGTCTTTTATATAACTTTTCTCATATGCATTCAGACATCCCATCACAGAGAAACGCGTATCTAAATCTGCCACATTTGCATTAGTTAGTGAATATAATGGCGAGGTCACGTAAACTCCATCGGAAACGAAAATCAATGTGGCTCTGAAGTATATTATTGATATGATAAATAATAGATGGTCGCATTTGCATTCAGCCATTCATTACGGGTTATAGATGATTTGAATTATGCTTTTTTGAAAATCAATATTTCCATAACGGCTGAATCAGTTTTATAGGAAAATAAACATTTTCAAATTCGATATAATGAATACATTACATATTTATCAATTTTCGTGTATTTTCACTATTCGATAGGACATTTGAAGTATTTTCCTGGGTTATATCAGAATAATAGTAAAGTTAAAAGAAATAGTTCGGAAGGAAATGGCGTATTTACTTGTTGGAAAAACTGATTTTGACAGTTTACAGGAAAGTTCAAAAATTGCTGAAGAAATTGCAAAAGAGCGGAAAAAACAACAAAATACTTGTTACCAAAGAAATCAAGAAATTTCTATGACAGAGAATATGAATAATTTCTAAAGTGTATAGAATTTTATGATATTGCTAAAATATATTCCACGAGCTCCTAATGGTCCAAATATTCACTGGTGAAAAAAACTTCACTGGTAAATGCGATTAATAACATCGTTAATTACGATAAGTTGAGGAAATACTTAAAACAAGTGTCAAAAAGATATACCTGCCAAAAAATCTGTCCAGAGATGTCTTGAAGTTTATTCATGAGGCCACGAATGAGATGTTTTTACTCAACAGAGTTGTTTTGAAAAACATACAACAACTTGTGAGTATACTTTGGTTACCAACGTAGAAGATAGGATATCAGTTATTTTGTTGAACATACTGAAGATGAAAAGCCGATGAAAAGCACGTTTCTATCATTTTTGACGAACTCGAAATGAAAAGTTTGAAGGTTTTATAAGCCTCCCATACACTATTCAACTCCGTACGTCAGTTCTTCCAACTTGGTCGGATGGCAGACCGGGTTGGACGAACCTCAAGTTTTCCACCTCGGCCGTAAAAAACGCGCCAAACGCGAAGCTACAAGTGTTCGGCGCATCAAGTTGGACAGTGTGCGCATCAGACTGGTTTGAGCTGGACCTGGAGCGCAGACAGACAGTCACTAGGTTAGGTCCAAAGTGAGTGGGTCGGTCTATTCGACCCTCCACCTCAACCCACAAGGGTTTATTGTGGCTGACAGTCGACTAACTCACTTCAGTTGTTGTTTTCTCTTAGTTCTTATATTAAGTTCATTTTGTTGCCAACTTTCAACCCAGCACTTTCAAAGTTTTCTTTTT